AATTTCTGAGAAAATAATAACAAAATAATAATGATTACATGCATGTTACTGAAAAAATGAATTATATTTCAGCTGAGACCAGAGTTTGAGATCTGGACGCTCCTGATTTATTAATATTGATTTATTTCCCACTTTCCACAGTCTTTCTAAAGTTCTAAATATAAAGACATGAACATCCCGTCTGAAAAAAATTACATGAATGTGTAATTAAGGACAAAATCTGTACTAATTTCTGAGAAAATAATAACAAAATAACAATATCATAATGATTACATGCATGTTACTGACAAAATGTACAGCCATCTGGACTGATAGTTACCAATAATAATAATAATAATTCAGCTGAGACCAGAGTTTGAGATCTTAGTCAAAGACCTTGCAAGCTCTGGATTTATTATGGATTTATTATTTCCCACTTTCCACAATCTTGTTTCATTTCTAAATATAAAGAAATGAACATCCTGTCTGAAAAAACATGCATGAATGTATAATTACAGACAAAATCAGTCCTAATTTCTGTGGTCAGTCTGGTCTATTCATGGTCAATAACAGCTCTCTTACAGGACAATGATATGAAAATAAGGTTTGGAAAGTTGACTCAAACTGTAGATTGAGAGTTTTCTAGTGGAAGCTGATTGTTCACTTTTTACTATGTGTCCACTTTAAGATGGAATACAATAAAATAACAATATTATACTGATTAGATGCATGTTACTGAAAAAAGTTGAGCCATCTGGACAGACAATTAACAATAATAATAATAATAATTCAGCCATATGAACCAACAAAGACAGGACAACAGTCAAGTTTTCCTTAAAACTCAACAACAATCCAACATTAGTTAAATAAATAAATCGTACTTACTCATACAGCTGAGAGCCGACAGGCACAGGAGGACAGAAAACAGGTTCATGTTCTTCTTCTTCTCTTAATCCTCCTTCACATTAAAGCTTCCCACCCTCAAAACCATCAAAAACAACAACAAACGGGCACAAAATAGCATCCAGAGCAGATTCAGACTTCTTTGTAAATTCCCGGTGAAGTCGTGGTTATTTTGGTCCTGTAAAACCCCCGTTCCTCCTCAGGGTTCAGCTTTCTGCTGACCGGTTCCTCTGAGACTGACCTCAGGACGATTCCTCAGCCCGGACTCAGCTCATTGGCTATGCAGCGTCATTGTTGTCATTGAAAGGATGGAGACAGACCCTCGTCCAGCCCTGGCAGCCGGCCGTCCCATTAACCGGCCTCAGCCCATCAACCAATCACAGCCCATCAACCAATCACAGCCCAGTGACCAGCCCCAGCCCATCAACCAATCCCAGCCCATTAACTCATTGACTGGCAGCCATTTTCAGAACAGAGTCCCATACTGCCAGAGTTTTTTGAGCATTTTGACTGATTTTCCAAGAGCCACAGAATAGTTTGTGCTATGACTATGTAAACACCGAACACACCAAAAGAAAGAGTAGACTCTCTTCTTTCATCAGGAAAAAAATTTTTGTTTCTACCTTATTCCGTTCTTCCTGGACTTGCGTCTCACCGGCGACATGTTCTCTCATAGCAGCCAATGAGTTAACCAGCCCCAGCCCATCAACCAATCACAGCCCATTAACCAATCCCGGCCCATTAACCAATCACAGCCCATTAACCAATCACAGCCCATCAACCAATCCCAGCCCATTAACCAATCCCAGACCATTAACCCAGTGTTTTTCAACCTTTTTTGAGCCAAGGTACATTTTTTCATTGAAAAAATCACGAGGCAACCACCAACCAAAAATGTCAAACAAATCTGTAGCCGCCTATAGTAACACTATACTTATTCTTATTTTATTCTTATCTTATCTTAGGTGTCTTGAATAGGAATCAAATAAACACAAAAATGTATTTTTATCGTATTTTATATTTCTTCTTTCAAATTGCACTTAACATGTCCACTTCAATATACAAAATTATATACAAAATTTAGTCATAAGGAATTATTACATGATTACTCCACCAGTCACTATTACAGCACAGACACTCCAAAATTACATATTATTTGCAGATAATTAATAACTTGTCAAAAAGTCTTTTTAGACTAATTAGGTGAAATAGGATGATTTTCTACGGCACACTAGTGTACCGAGGACCAGGGGTTGAAAAACACTGCATTAACCAATCCCAGCTCGGAGCTGATGGAGGGACTGGTTTTCATGTGGAACTGGGGGGGCGTCTGTCTGCTGACCCAGTTGTGGCTCCTGGTCCAGATGAGACTTCAACTAACCCTAACCCTAACCCTAACCCTTACCATAACCCTAACCCTAACACAGGAACAGCACACACAGGAGACATTTGGGCTCCTGGTACTCTGATAAACTCTGATCCATCCCAGACAGTGGTCAGCAGCTTACATCTGGGTGGGTCAGGGTCAGGGTTAGGGTTATGGTTAGAGTCAGGGTTAGGGTTATGGTTAGAGTCAGGGTTAGAGTCAGGGTTAGGGTCAGGGTCAGGGTCATGGTTAGAGTCAGGGTTAGGGTCAGGGTCAGGGTTAGGGTTAGGGTCAGGGTTAGGGTTAGAATCAGGGTTAGGGTTAGGGTCAGGGTTAGGGTTAGGGTCAGGGTTAAGGTAAGGTAAGGTTAGGGTTAGGGTTAGGGTTAGGGTTAGGGTTAGGGTTAGGGTTAAGGTTAGGGTCTAGGGTTAGGGTAAGGGTCAGGGTTAGGGTCAGAGTTAGGGTAAGGATTAGGGTCAGGGTTAGGGTCAGGGTTAGAATCAGGGTTAGGGTCAGGGTTATGGTCAGGATTAGGGTTAGGGTCACGGTTAGGGTTAGGGTTAGGGTCAGGGTTAGGGTCAGGGTTAGGGTTAGGGTCACGGTTAGGGTTAGGGTTAGGGTCAGGGTTAGGGTTAGGGTCAGGGTTCGGGTTAGGGTCAGGTTTAGGGTTAGAGTTAGGGTTAGGGTAAGGGTCTATCTATCTATCTATCTATCTATCTATCTATCTATCTATCTATCTATCTATCTATCTATCTATCTATCTATCTATCTATCTATCTATCTATCTATCTATCTATCTATCTATCTATCTATCTATCTATCTATCTATCTATCTATCTATCTATCTATCTATCTATCTATCTATCTATCTATCTATCTATCTATCTATCTATCTATCTATCTATCTTTGATTATTTTTTATTTGATTGGATCATGACTATTGAAAAGACTTGGGATCTAATTGGCTTGAAGATGATTTTTTGTGATATTTTGTGCTGTATCAATACAATTGAATGCTTTTCAAAGTGAATAAAAGCCCTTCATTTACCTCTCATGTCCACCCACATGTTGATTTGTGTTTAGTCTGTCATACAAATCTAACTCCAAACACTCCAGACCACTAAATACAAATACATGTGCTTTGGGTGATTTTTTTTTTTTATAGAAAAAGTTACCCCTAAAATTTTGAAGACAATTAGCCAAATAACGTCTGCTTATGTCATCGCACAAAGAAAGTCGTGTGTGTTTGTTCGTAGCACACTGATTTAGTACACTAAGCCGACTGTAAAACAAGATTTTTGACAGAAAATAAGTGACTGAAATTGAATCCAAAGCATGAAAGTGTTGAAATGCCAGTTGTGAACGCTTCCTCCAGCATGAAGGGTTAAGGTGACAAAATCAGATACATCAATTTATCAAGAAATAAATTAATATATCATGAAATCTCACATTAATTAATTAATTGCATCACAACATTAATAAAAATGTCATTAATTGATTCAATTGACCACACAATGATTGAATATATCATTAAATAAATACATCAATAGACATTTAAATACATCATGAAATTATGAAAAAATTAAATATTCAATGAAATAATCAAATCTACCTTTATAAATAACGAATTAAAATAATGCTAAACACTACAATGTCCTTCTACAGAAAGCTTTTATTTACACTTATTTAATAATTTCATTGTGTATTTTTTCACCGAATGCGTTTGTGCCCTGTTGTCAGAAAAAAATAAAAAATAAAAATCTAATAATTTACATAAATTAATAAAAATTAATAAATAAATGAATAAATAAAACTCCCTGTCACCAGACAGGGCGCTGCTCAGTTTGTTTTATGCTATTTAAACCTTGTCCTCTCTGTGCGTGATGACGTCACTAGCAAGGACGTAAAGTCTGTTGACATTTTCGGTTCCTGTTGG